TTTCTGTTAACGACTTTGATATGACTGGAACATGAACCAAAACCAGGATCATCATTATTTGTTCTGTCAGAAATGCCATCCCTTTCCATACAAAACATATTTTAGCTGTAGCTTGAGCCGTACTTACGCGAAATGTCAAAGTAAGACTTTATATTTTATTAATTACCACTCAAACGTTCAGAATCCAACAAAGGGTCTTCTTGAAAGAAAAGATAAATGACGGAGTATTCATGATAAAATTAAATCAGCTGTTTTGCCAGTATCACAGTCATCTTGTCTATACATTATTCATATACAGGTACATGTGTATGAAAGGATATTTCAATACCACATCGCATTAAGGGGGGGGGGGGGGGGGGGGAATAACAAGCAACTAACTGTTGTCTGATAGAAATTTTCATTGCTATTTATACATTTATATGGTTTGTTGTGAAATAGTTATATTTAAATTTATGTTACATATTAGTAAGTGGATATATGCGATATATATTTACATAGCAAAACAAGCACCAAAACATCAAAACTTGCATGAAAGTCAGGGGGGGGGGGGGGAATAAAAAAAAATATGAAGACAGTAATTTAAGCTATATTTCCGATGACTATTTGTTTTAAAGGAACAGGCAACTTGAAATGTAATATAAAACTGGTACACTTATTTTTAAAGTGTGACAACGACTTAAATATAACCGTGATTACATTGATAGAACAGGGTCACTCCAACCAAGTTATTATCGGGAGCCTGGCTAACAGGCCAGGCCCGTTTTCATGAAACCGGTCTCGTGATCTACCATGGATTCTGTGCTCAAATCAACTTTTTTGTAACTCATTTTAATCATGTCAAAAGATCAAAAAGTCAAATGTAAACACTGAAAATAGTTTGCGGCTTTAAATCTCTTTAATTTGTTTCAAAATCATTGACAAGATAAGATTTTGTTTCATTAATTTATAACTTAAACAAGAAATAAGACTTGAGCACTAAATGCATGCTTGAGCATGAAACTGCTTTCATAAATATGAAACCAGGTTCCGGTTTCACGGACGTTCCTAACTAAATAATTAATTCTTTAACAGACGGTATTTACCATATCAAAGCACTGCTAGAGTTAAGTGAAAAGCTCAAGCTAAGGTTTTTAATTCAAGCAATGAGTCCCGATTGCAATAACTGAAGTGATTTCTTATGTTAAGGAAATGTCATTAAAAAATACAGTATCACTCCCGGTAATGGGTTAAATAAGCAACATCTAGTGGTTTGTTTGACATTACTAGCTTGGGTCTCGTTCATGTTCTTATTGAGTTGGTGGAAGATAATGGACTGAAATTTGGAATTCAGAATGTTTAAGCAGGCCCTATATATTTGTAATGCTAGACGTGCCTGTACTGTTTTAGTTCTAAGCATGCATATGAAGGGGACCTGCCTGTGAAAGGAGACACCAATTTAGAAATATCTTGATCATTTCGCCGCATATTTGACAATAACGGACTTTTCATGATAGACAAATTGTTTACAAATATTTATATCCGACTTTAATAGATCGAAATCAAGTTCCAATACGTTTTGATATTTGTTTATTTTCACTGTAAAATATGTTTTGAAGAGTTATCGTTCATATTGACAGCATTAAAAACAACATTATAAGGATTTTATATCAATATACGCAAAGCACTATTGTACAAAATGTCAACTGAATATTATATACAGGGAACTTTTCACCGCAGTAGAATTTGTCGCTGTCCAAAATGAGGGCGAATTTACCATACAATATATAGTACGTTTTTGTAAGTACATGTGATTGGCGAAATTAACGCTAGGCGAATATTTGACTTGGCGTAGGTTTCTCGGTATACAGTTTTGGTATTATTCATTCCCAGACGTTTTTATGTGTTTTTCTTGAATTCAACTGAATCGTGTCAGGTTGTAGTGGGTGAAAGCCGGAGTACCCGGTGGAAACCCATGCCACTGGCCTGCAGACAGTACGTTTGTAATCCTAATGTATCAGGAAAGAGATAAAGCTAAATGTCTTAATACCATTAATACCATGATAAAATGATGGGAACATTAGAATCCCACTGTGGTAAGATCACGTTGGGTCGTTTATACAGATACAGCTTGTATCCTTCCTTATTCTACTGCACAGCTTCTAGACCAACAGCATTTCACCAAAACCAGATACAGGGGATTATATTCAATCATGAAAACTGTAGTGTTATCATATTGAAACTTTCAAGGAAATTGTCGGACGGTTTCCAAGTGAATTTTGTCGCCAGTCGAACACATTATAACGATAGAAAAGACGACTTCCAATTTAACCATTTGTTAAAAGTTATTTAGGAATCGAAAAGCATATTCTCAGCTGTAACGATGGTATGAAACCCGTTGCTACAAAATGTAACTAACAAATTCCCAAAGATACGCTACTGTGCATCACGGAATATGTTTGACAAGAACTGGATTTAATTCCAACATGAATGTTAAGAATAAGCATTTTAATACTTAAATAAAACAAAAGAATGAACATGTGAAATACACAATAGGCTGATATGTTATAAACGTGTATTAAGCATGCTAGCTGTAATGTGATGCTGTTCATAATTCTTATGTGAAATGTCCGTCACTTTTCGTATAAACAGACGCAACCAGGAAATAAGGATATTTGAGATCGTACGACTCAATCTGCATCATAACGATTTCATATATATATATATACAAATGACTACTTTACGTGCAAAATCACGAATCTTAACGTATTATTACGACTCAGTATGTTATATCTCGACTACATATGTATCTCGACTACATATGTATCTCGACGTCTGCTGAATATGTACTATTTCGACTCAATATGTATTAATTCGATTCAAAACATTTTACCTGGACCATGATTCAATATGTATTATCTCGGCTAAATATGTTCTTTCTCGACTCAATTTGGATAATTTCGACTTCGACTCAATATATATTATGTCGATGCAATATTAATATTAATTTAGTTTTACCATGATCAACTTACTATATGTATTATCTGGAGTTCGACTCCTTGTGTATTATCACGACACAATATGTGTTATTTCGAGTTCGACTCAATGTGTATTATTACAATACAGTATTTAGTATCTCGAGTTGGACTACGAGTGTATTTCTCCAATCTGTATTATCTTGACTCAATATGTATAATCACGACTCAGTATGTATTATATTGACACAATCTGTGCTATCACGACATAATATGTATTATCTCGACTTCGACTCCATATGTCTTATCACGACATAATATGTATTATCTTAACTCATATTGTATTATCACGAATCTATTTGCATTACAGCACGCACTATGCATTATACATGTAAGTGTGTACGACTCAATATGCTATATTACATGTACGACTCGATGTACTACTCGGTCTGTGCTATCACGATTCAAATTTGAACAACGCAATATATTTTACCCCAACTTAGGATTGTAAGACAATATGTAACCTTACAACTCAAGATAGCACGACTCAATATGTAACCTTACAACTCAAGATAGCACGACTCAATATGAAATCTTACAACTCAAAATTGTACGACTCCATATGAAATCTTACAACTCAAAATTGTACGACTCAATATGAAACCTTACAACTCAAGATAGCACGACTCAATATGAAATCTTACGACTCAAAATTGACTTAATTTCGATACAAGTAAATGTAACCAAACATATCAAAAAAGTTTTGAAATTTTCTCAAAATACTGTAGTATACTGTAGTTCTTCAAATTTGTTCGGATAAATGTCACCGTTTGAATGTATTGGCCTTTTTCCTATCATTATTTTTTACATCCACCACTTTAAATGTACATGTAGTATGAAGTATATTTAGCATGTCATATAGTTTCGTGCTTCCGACTGTGTTTTAGGGAGCGTGTGAATCGAGGTGAATCCAACAATAGGGTACTTCCGATACTTTTGGCATTTTGGTGTACATCATACTAAAGTCAACTGCACAAAGGTCGCTGTACCGAAATCTTAACGACGGACTGAATGAATTGATTTAAAAACATATGCATGGAAAACACATGGTTTCAGCATATTAAGTAAATTAACGACTACATGTTCTGGCATTAAACGATGCCTGACTACACCACAAGGTATAGCTACGCAAGGTGTTTTCAAAGCTGGTTTTACAGAAGTAGCATGCAAGCAGCAATAACACGTGTATGCCGGAGTCTCTTTTATGACAATGCCATCATCTAATCGGTGTGTTTCAATACGGAGTGATATGTAATGTGATGTGCTATCGATAGTCTTGTTAGAAATACGGACTATCTTGCAGACGCTTTTCTTGTCGGGAGAGAACTAAAACCGACATTCAACTGCTAATTGAGATGTCTTGAGGTTTGATTAAATCCAATTCAGCAGAAACGCAATATAAGCATCGCGTATTACTCAATAGCAGCTGCAACTGCTGACTGCGATAACGTTCTGTTTTAGGGTTGTATCGATGTTACATTCACGCTCAGATCTGAGATTTTAATTCGCCACTTTCATGTACAGAGAGCGTTCTCTCGATACTTTCAGCTAATTACAGTGTTTGATCTCGTCTTAAACGCGCGAATTTACGCCATGAAAGGCTAGCGGATGTCGGTTCATGTAATAGTGCAGATACAAGCAATATCACCAATCTAATTATAAACTTTGGAATTCTTGTATATAGGGATATTTAAAGACATTCCCTACTTAGAATCTGCCGTTATTTCTCGCTATGTAAGCGTAGGGCTGGAGCAACGCGCTGTCGTATGTAGTTAATTACAGTTAAGTAGGACCATCTTTCTCACTTCAAGTGTCCAAAGTAACCTCATATTTAAACAAAATGATTCCAAAAAGTTTGATCCTCAATCAGCTTTTTGTATATTTATTGAACATTAAATGTGACTTACCTTACGTGCAAATCCAATGAAGATTAATAACAGAAACTTCGAACTTTGAAGATAAACAAAAACGTGAACTAATTTTCTCGTGCCCTTTATTTTCCAATAATACCTGTATATAAGAGCTTGATTAAGTTTCATATTTACACAATTACTCCATCGAGTCCCTTCAACCATGCAAGAACATTATTAAACCTTGGTGCTAATGGTGACTCCTTCGTCCATGGTTATGGAGGGCGGCGGTATGTTTTTAGAACATCGGCTATAAGATCGAGGACTCCCTTCTCTGCACGCGTTACTCCAGCATAGTTGACGGAGCGTCGCTTTGAACTCGGCGCTCATGCTGCAGTAGAGAAGAAAGTTTAGAGGATAAGAAAATATAATCACCAGATTGGCTATGACCTCCACGTATTTCAATGTGTTCATCTCGATGATATCGTAACCAAACATGAAGGGAAACACATAAAGCAGTTGGATTATCCCTACCGGAAACTCCACCAACAGTGTGATCACCGCCATACAGATAATCATCACAGTTACCCGGATGTTTTCCTTCACTGTAGCGTGGTTGCTCTGAGCATTTGTATTTAGTTGCAGTCGTTTGTTCGTCACCGTTTGAAGGCCATGTAAAATTTTGCAATTGAGAATAATGAGCGATACACAAGGCACAAATTGAATAAATATAATCCGAATACCCAAATAGGAGGAGTAGTACATGGACACATCTACCCATATCCGGTACTCACGTTTACAGTACTCCTCCGTCGTGTTGGTCCAGGGGTCAAAGTACACATTGTTATGGTACTCGAACACGAAAAACCGACACATGTGCACGACCACAGCCATTAAGTAAATGAGGACAATACAAATGATGGTATAGCGTAGAGTGCACCACCCCCTTGCCTTGAAGGGCAAACACACGTAGAAATATCTCTGTAGGGTCAAATAGACAGTCAGCCAAATGGACGCTGTATGGGAAATAGTAGGCAGGTAGAGTGCTATCCAGTCCATGGCCTGACACCAGCCAAACTGTATCGCGTAGTTACCTAGTCCATACGAGTAGAAATAAAACGGGGCTGGTAGGACCAATGTTAGGGTATCCGACACGGCGATCCCTACCAGCCCCGCCTGGCTCGCGCCATACGTTTGCTGACGACGCAGGACGGCGATTACGACGGCGTTCGTTAGGAGCACAACGATAGCGAGGGCAGGGACGACGTAACCGTTGATGATAATCAGGTACGAGTTATCGTCAGTCATCGCTGTCACATTCGTAGATTCGTCACTGATGTTGTTCTGTGACCGAAATTCAAGGGATAAATTGACCGCCATTGGGTGGTATTAAATCTACTGGTTTGTCTTCATGTTCGGTGCCATTGATGTTTTTTATCTTTTCAATTTTGAAAAAAAAAAATTAAGCGTTGTTCTAATTGGTCAGCATTGGCGTAAATATTTCCAGTAAAAGATAGTATTTGTTCTTCCCTTTCGTTGGCGATGTTATTTTTCTTTTCGGTGATGAGAGAAATAACTCACTATCATTCAATGATGCAAAATCATTGGTAAGTAGATAATCCGTATTGTCATCAGTAGTTCAAAAACTTTTTTAAAAAAAAACGTGTAACGCAGGGAATGGCCTTTAGAGCTTTGTGTCCATGTTGCTAGGTACCTGATCACTACATCTCCGGAGAAATGTTTCGTGACTGTCTAACTTTGCTTCATTGCATAAAGTAATTTGTCGACGATTTAAATGATATAGTTTCGGAGAAATATATTCTTTGACGAGGACGGAAAGCGTTCAGCGAGAGGCATTATTTCCGAGTGGTGTGATGTTTGTAAGCACTTGTAGCCAGTAGCGCGCCTGTGTACAGTATTGATCAGAAACAGCGGTTAAGACTGCCTTACGTTCCGCGATCCGCTGTGATTGGCTTACGAGTCTGTTCATCATCGTAGTCGCATTCATAAACCCTTCAGAATCGAAAACGAAAATATGGCATAATTCACATGTCCGTCTAAGTAATCCGTGGTATTCCACACCAATACGTCAAGCTTAGTTGTGAACAGTCAGGTCCGTGAGCCCTAACATGTATCAGATACGGCCCGAGGTCACAGCACACTCATGGATCCGTTACTACATTATGTACAACATAAAGTATTGTCAAAGAAGATTATTTCTACCTAATTAGACGTTCTCAATTTCGTGTCATTACTGGTAGCACTTTCCTCAAATAATAGGAAGAATTACGGGACGATAGGATACACGCTCAGCAATTCGTTTCAAATCGTTAAAATTATTTGATTTTCTGTCCTCTGGGATTCATAATGAATATCTTCTCTAAATTCTTTTGAAATTACTTTCGCAAATCAAATTAAAATATGACAGTTTCCTGAAATGTGCACGTTAAGTTCTATGAACTGTTGAAATCACGCGAGAATCCCACGTGATTTCCACATTCTGGTGTTGTCAGATAAACACGTGTTTGTCCCAGATCAGCAACTACTCATCACGTCTTCAAACGAGTGTCATTAAAACAATTTAGCTCAATTTAATTCACGCACTTTATTTGCAAACAACGTAATTTTAGATTTCTCGAGCGGAAACTCCAGCGAGATGTGACAACAATGGGCACTCATTGGGAGCTTGTCTCTATTAATACCAGCAAGTGACAAACGCCAGATCCAAATCATCTGGTTATTACTGGATCAACCGTAATTTTTATTTTTTTTGTAACATTGCAAAGTAGTTATTAACTTTTCAATAAAACATATGTGAAAAATTACAACTGTTGAACTGTTTCCATGTTAAGTTTTAAAATCAAATTTAAAACAAACTTGATTAACCGCTACCCTAAACTTGAATACGTTCTCACATCATGTTTGTGTGTGTACAATCGTACAACTAAGATTATTGATTTAAGTTATCCACAAATGAGCAAAAGAACACATCAAAGCCAGTCTGATCAACAAACTAAACATCAGGCAAAGTCATTTCTTCTGAAAGTCGGTATTAGACATGTTGACCTGTTTTGCAGTATTGAAACGAAAACCCTGTCCACGCTCTCTAACGCATGTGAGGTTAGCCTTCCCTGAGGAACCGGCAACCTTAGAAACGAGAGTTTAGGGTTCAGCGTACATCATACACCGCGAACTGGATTTGACATTTCCAGCCGCCGTTTATTTGATCATCAACTGCATAAATCGTAAGGTCGGTATCATCCAGGCGGCTCTGTACGCCTAGGATGCGAGAACAATCGGTCGTTTTCACAGCTTCCCCAAAACAAATCGTAACAACAGAACATCAACTTCAATTTTCTGATAATAATTTAGAAGTAGATAGGATACGTATGCTTGTCATCGTACTAAAATAAACTGGCACGATTTATAACTTAATAACCACACACACACATATATATATACATAGGCAAGGTCTACATACACTCCACACGGTACCTAGAACGTACGATACGGCCTGATGATTTATAGCATCGTTGAGGACATCTGAGAGGCGAACTCGATGAAATCTAAAGCATATCTGACTTTCCGAGTGTACACCATAACAGGACAATATAATAGCACAAAACAATGCGGGTCTATAAACTCGACACCTAATTCAGTATATTTAGTAACTATAAAAGCAGTCGAGATGTGAGCTAACGAAAACGCTCCATATCTGATTTCAATTACAGTATAACGTGAACGTTTTGCACCTACAGGAGTGAATAAAGAGCCGCCTCCAGAGGCCGTGATGTAGAGAGGAAATGTTCCTCTTTAACACGTAAACTAGTTTATCATGTTACAGTAACGGTTATAATGTAACAGTAACGGTTATCATGTTACAGTAACGGTTATCATGT